CTCCCAGTGAGTAAGTTCCTGTTTACATTAACTAGCATTTCAACCTTCAGCTCTGGTTAAATTGCTGATTCATGGTGAGACCACAGAAAAATCAACATGGAAGAGATTCCCTTCCAGAAAGACATGGATAAGCAAACTGTGGTATCTGTGACAACGGAATAGTAATCTTGGGAAAACAGAAATGAGATGGCAAACCACTGGGGCAGAGGTCCCCAAAGAGTACACGGTTGGTTATGCTATGGGGTGGCAATCTGGAAAGGCTTAAAATATTTATTTGATTTGTAATTATGTGTGATTGTGCGGATATGCGTATAAGAGCAAGGATGCCTAAGGGACCAGAAGAGCATCTTGGATCCCCTGGTTGGATCCCCTGGAACTGAAGTTACAGGTAATTAGGAATTGTCTACTCTGGTTACCTGACAATTTTTATTTTTTTTTTAAGATTTATTTATTCATTTATGTGAGTACACTGTCACTCTCTTCAGAAGAGGGCATTGGTTCCCATTACAGATGGTTGTGAGCTACCATGTGCTTGCTAGGAATTGAACTCAGGACGTTTCAAAGAGCAGTCAGTGCTCTTAACCGCTGAACCATCTCTCCAGCCAGGGGAACATACTAGAAATGAAGAAGGCAGAAACCAGAAGCTTCTGCAATCCACACCTGTAATGCCAATGCTCAGATGGCAGAGTTGGGAGGATCAAGAATTCAAAGTCGCCGGACGGTGGTGGCGCACGCCTTTAATCCCAGCACTTGAAAGGCAGAGACAGGCAGATTTCTGAGTTCGAGGACAGCCTGGTCTACAGAGTGAGTTCCAGGACAGCCAGGGCTACACAGAGAAACCCTGTCTCAAAAAAAAAAAAAAAAAAAAAGAATTCAAAGTCAACCTCAGCTACGTAGTGATAGATTATCTAGATTATCTCCCTTGATGAAATAGAAACCAATTGGAGCCAAATTTAAAAGTAGATAAAGTCAAGTTTATTGGAAGCAGGTCTCAGGCAGGTTCACTGATCTCACAGGAGGAGGCTAGGGAAGGGAAGTCTCCCTGGAGACTAAGAGACTGAAAAGCAGAAGGCTGAGAAAGAAAGTACTCACAGAGAAAGAGAGAGAAGGAGAGAGAGAGAGAGAGATGGAGGGAGAAAGAACCCGGGGGGGGGGGGGGGTGCTGGGTATGCCAGCCATGCCCTTGAACAGGTAGGGACTGAGGGATGCTGGGAGAACCTGGAGGCCAGCTCTTCGAGTCAGATGCGGCTCTATCCTTCCTAAACTGTCCACATCCCCAACAAATCCTTAGATGCAGAGCCTCTACCTTGGTCCAGTCTCTCTTGAGTATGTTAAGTTGTACACACACTGCAACTTTAACAATGCTGACTATAAATACTTCTGGTCAGGCTGTGTCCCCTTTCAGTCAGCTTCCCTAGACATTTCAACTCCTCTCTCTGTGCTGTTCCAGAGATACACTGAAGGTGCCTTAGGCACACACCTGGCTACCTGCCTCTGTCGCTGGACATCAGTGGGTGAGGGCTTCTATCCTGGGCTTGATATTTCTGTCCTAAGCTCACCTTGGGAAAGCAGTGTTCCTACGATCTGATACTTTTCATGTAGGCTAGGTATTCCAGTTACACCCCAATATTATTGGATAATTATTTAATTGGAAATATGATAATTTTTATTCTCTTGCAACTCCCGCAAAATCTTTTGTTTACTCTGATTTTTCTGTTTCTTCTTTATAGAAGGCATATATTAGTTTTATAATACCAATAAAGTGAAAGTCAAGAACATTTATACATGATTCCTGAAGAATTATAAACATGGAGGTGAGAATGTATTATTCTATAAATGACAGAAATTTCCATTTAGGAAAAAAAATCAATTTGGACCTATACCTTGCATGATAAATTGAAATAAAATATACTCTTCCTTGTAAAGATCTATCCCAAGGACACGAGGCCCAATGCCTCACTGCAATGATATACCTTGAAATATTATTTATACATCATAGAAACCAGCTGGAAATCAAGTAGACACCTAAGAATAGTGGAAATGGCAGAATAAATGATCATAAAATAGAATACAATATTAAAATGTTTGGCATAAGGGCAATTTTGAAATGGCTCACTATAAACGTGTAGAAAAGCTTGCCTTGTGGTGTCAGCATTGAAAATGTGAGTACGGTGTGTAAAAACTGACATGCAGAGAAGAGCTGAGGAAACTGCACTGGACAATAGCATCCCGAGTGACAGAAAAAAGATGCTCACGTTCTCGTCTTAGAGCTGCCTTTCTTTTTCACGCTGTCCTTAGTGAAACAGAATATAATCACAAAAGTCTGGTTTTTAAATGTAAGCACAAAAAAAAAATAGTAAAAGCTGACTCTAATTTTACAGTTAGACAACTCGTCAAATTTCAAATTCAGAGAGAGGGGAGGGGAAGAATATTATCAAGGAAAGGATCCCGTCTTAATGGTTAACAGGGGAAATTTGTTCTTCACAATCTTTCAGTGATTAGACGAGTAAAACTTAACAAACAAACAAAAAGAGGGTTACAAACAGACACTTCCAGAACACCATAGTCTTTGCTCAAAATCTCCCCTCCCTTCCCCTCCTTTCCTCTCCCCTCCACTCTCTCTCTGTCTCTCTCTTCTGCAACAACATCTGCCCAACTGTCATTTAATTTCAGACTAGCGCCCTTCTGTCATTGATCTTTTGTGATCAACAACAGTTACCTCAAAATAATCTACGTAGCCTCCTCGTTTTGCCGCTGAAAACTTGTACTTGCTTCAAACAACCTCGTGGAATACCTACAGGCTTGTCTGCTCTCCACACAATGTGGTAACCCAAACCCATCTAGCGGTATAGCTCAGAGGGAGCTTTCACTCCATGTTCCTAAGGCTCATAAGCCTCTAAGTAGCTCTCCAAAGTAATTCATATCTTGCATCAGGGAGATTTCCCTCTGGCTGATGACTAATCTTCACTCACACTCTTAAAAGACTGGGATGAACTTCCGGTTCAGTGCGGGGGGTGGGGTGGGGGGGGGGGGGGGGGCAGGGGTATGGGTGGGACTGTTTGCTCACGCAGAAAGAGCCTGCCTGTTTCTTCATTCAGGATATAAAACCTCCATCCTCCTCTTTAACCAGGACACAGAAAGATTTCGGCAGCAACCATGGCCACCTTCGTGGAGCTCAGTACCAAAGCCAAGATGCCCATTGTGGGTCTGGGTACCTGGAAGGTGAGTGCGAAGTCTTGGGACATCAGCTGCCTCTCAGCAGGTCTTGGCGTTTCCTCTTCCTTCTATGGCATTCACTGGGAGTTTGAAACCCTTGAGCCAGAACCCAAGTTGTTTTTGACTTTTCTGCTGTTTCAGACCTCAAAGCTCTGTCAGACTTTCCCTAGCAGTGCCTTTCCTGACAAGTGTCAGGTTTCAAGCTTTCAAGTTAAACTCTTAGCAAGCTTTCTTCTGAACTTATGAGACACTTAACATTTTATAAGTTTTGGCTGGTTTGATCTTTTTTTCTGGCTGAGTAATTCAGAGGCAGGACACCAAAAGCTCCAAATGACCTACCTCCGTTGCCCGTGGGAGAAAGACTGGAATCCTGGAATCCTGGGGGAAAAGGTGGAGTCTCAGACCCCAGCACAGACTACTGGTACCTGCACTTTACCAAGACACTACTCCATTTTCTGAGCTCAGCAAACTAAGCAGGAAGACCACGGAGCCTGGGCTCAGAGCCTGCCTGGCAGTGTGCTCCCCTGGAAGAATGCCCCAAGGTCCATCGCGCTTTCTGGTGAAGCAGATTTCCCAGCTTCTGTTGAGAGACAAGTCTAACATTGTCCCATCTCCTAACTCTGCCCTTGGGTTTATTTCCCTTGGTGATAACATGACACTGGTCAACTTGTTTCCAGGAGCTCTCTCAATTTGGTTTCTGGACACTGGGAGTTACACTTGAGTTTAGGCTGCCCTAGAACTCACTCTGTAGCTTGGGTTGGCCTAGAACTTGCAATCCTCCTGCCTCAGCGGCTAGAGGTTATCACAAGTGTGAGCCACCTCCAGGAGCTGTTTTTGGAGTTTTAGTCTCTTGTCTGGGGTTTCTAAGAGCCTCTGTCTCTTGTTCTTTGCACTGTCTTTTTCTTTTGCTCATGGGACAGAGGTGGAACCCCTCTTTGTTTCAGCACTGGGTTTAAAATCTTATTTGAATTTGCTCCAAATTAGCAGTTTCACTTTTTACCAAGCTGACAAACTAGCTTACCAGAAGTAACTCTCAGAAACTCAAAATTAGACAGAAAGTTTGACAAGGGAGTTGTTCTCAAGATAAGGAGGTGGTAATTAGCCCGGGAGAGTCTGCTCTTATCTGTAGAAATGCTGGGGAAGGTCCAGGTACTTCTGAACCCGCTGGAGGCCACTCCTTGTCTCAGGGAAGCTATCAACTCTCTGGTGCTTTCCTTTTCTATTTTTTAAAAATTTATTTATTTATTTTATGTATATGAGTACACTGTAGCTGTCTTCAGACACATCAGAAGAAGGCATCAGATCCCATTACAGATGGTTGTGAACCACCATGTGGTTGCTGGAAATTGAACTCAGGACCTCTGGAATAGCAGACAGTGCTCTTAACCTCTGAGCCATCTCTCCAGCCCCCATCTCTGGTGCTTTTCTATTTTTTTGCATTTATGTTTATTTTGGGGACTACTATGTGCCCCAAGCTAGCCTCAAACTCACAGTCCTCCTGTTTCCCAAATACTGAGTTTATACACATGGGCCACCATACCAAGTGGTTTAGCTTTCTCCTTTTTAAAAAAAGTTGGTTGTATTTCATTCGTGAGTAGAGATGTCTAAACTGCTGTGTGGTCCAGTCTGGATTTACCGTGCGACAACCATTCTCCACGGTCTTATCATGGTCTGGGACTGAAATTCCTCTAGTTCGCTGCAGAGTTGAGTCTGGCTTTCAGCAACTTGCAGTGGGAGGCATCTGTTATCCCAGAAACAAGAGCTCCTTTAAGACTAGGTACATTAGTCATTCCCTTCCCCACATCCTGCCTTTCTGTGTTTATAACCCCTTTGTGAGTGAATTACGATTTGAGAAAAAATAAATTTTGTATATATATATATATATATATATATATATATATATATAAAAGACCAGGTACTCACATCTCATCTGGTGTGAGATTAGATGGAAACTGACTTCCAGCTCTGATAGAACACGAGATGGGTGAACATTAAAGTTCACTTTTTCTTCTCCTTTGAAAAGTTTTTCTTCCCCATTGGACCCCCTACCCCCAGTAATGCAGTGGTTTGGTGGAACTGGGCTGTGTGGAACCTGCTGAGGAAGGTTTTGGTATAAGAGCATCCAGTGGTCTTTTCTGTTGTCTTTCAGTCTCCCCCAAACCAAGTCAAGGAAGCTGTGAAGGCGGCCATTGATGCTGGGTATCGCCACATAGACTGTGCCTATGCGTATCAGAATGAGAATGAGGTGGGAGAGGCCATCCAGGAGAAGATCAAAGAGAAGGCTGTGAGGCGGGAGGATCTCTTCATCGTCAGCAAGGTACAATGGTTCACTTGGTGGATAAAACTTCAAGGCAGGTATAATCTGGTCCATACCCAGAGCCTTCTCCGGTTTTTCCTAACCTCCTTCCTTGCTTTTGCTATATCTGTGGGTGTGAATATCCATGCTCCAAGCCAGTACTGATGAGATTCTGCTGCAGGTATATTCTCCTGTGTTAGTTGTCCCATAACAAGGATGGCTCCTTTGAGATTTGAGTACTCTTGACTTTCATGCTTTCTGTCAGGGAGATCCTTCTGCCCGCTGAGATGCTAGAGTTGCCCTTAAGGGTGGGTCTTGGGGCAGGAGAGAAGGCTTAGAGGTTAAGAGTACCTCCTGCTCTTGCAGAAGACCATAATTTGGTTCCTAGCACCAATATCAGGTGGCTCACAACTCCTGTAACTCAAGTTCCAAAGAATCTGACACCCTCTTCTGGCCTCTACAGGAACCCACTCACATAGTGTACATGCATACATTGAAATAATAAATAAATCTTTTTTTTTAAAAAAGAGGATGGGCCCTGAGCCATTACAACTCAGTACTGTGTTCTTAGTGGCTATGTAGAAAGAATATTTTTTTTTATTGATGGATAGGAATATCTTTTTATCCCAGTAAAGGTGAATTATAAAATGCTGTCAAAAAGAGAGGAGAGGGGTGTGTAGAATGAGGTGGTTGACTGACTATCACTAGCTGGTACACTCTACCCACTTGGAAACTGCATCTGGTGCAAGACACAGACTCTGTATAGCATGCCATTTAATTCTTTGTAATTCACCATTAGGGCCTGTTATCTTGGGGATATGGGACTATCCCGCAAATAGTATCAGAATGCTAAGTGATGTAAGAAATACATCGAACGCTACAAGCATGGAAAAACATATCACCCTCAACCCCTTAGGAAATGACCTGACTCACTGAGCCTTGCATATCAGATCATGTATATTAATTACCTAGTTTGGTTAAATATAAATAGTCTGTCCTAAGGCTAGATCAGACTGTAAATCTCTGAGCGGGGTGCGTGAATGTAGTGTGACTCTTCCTAATCCCCCTGCTGTCTTACCCTGCAGTTGTGGCCCACCTGCTTTGAGAAAAAACAGCTAAAGGAAGCCTTTCAGAAGACACTCACAGACCTGAAGCTGGACTATTTGGACCTCTATCTTGTTCACTGGCCGCAGGGTTTTCAGGTTTGAGCTGTTCTTTGTGCTTATCTGTAGCTGCTGACACAGAGCTGTGGTAATGGGGGCATGACTCTCTCAACTTCCCGCTGATTCCGAGTCCAGTGATGCCCTCTCAAGAGATATCTTGGGATGGTCTTGGGTATTGTATTCCAGGGTCCAGCTGCCCTGCTAATCAAAGGGTGCCTAGGGAGTGGCTGAACCAAGTATGAAGATTCAAGTATCAGATCCTTGCCTAGTGGTCTTGAAATTAAAATTTCCTCCAGGTTTATGTGGATTTGGATAATGCTGCATTGGTTTCCAAGGTGATGGAAATTCCTGATCATGTCTAGGACATATAATAGGAGATTTGGAAACTGGTCCAGCAGTTTCTGTAATTTAGGATTTACCTAACCATTGTAGGTTGGGATAGAGATGCAGTTGAAACTTGATGTCTGCCAGTGTGTCCCCCAGAGCCTGACCAGGCACTAAGCAGGTGTGAGTGTTGGGTGTTTCACTGTCCTGGATCTTTGTTTCATAGAACCAGGTGCAACCAGTGGGCGTTTGTTTTGTATTTACAGCCCGGAAAGGAGTTATTCCCTAAAGATGATCAAGGCAATATCCTCACCAGTAAAACAACGTTTTTGGAAGCCTGGGAGGTAGGTTGCAGCTTCTACTGTGCTATCGAGACTTCCATTGTGGTATGAATAGGCCCACAAGCCTTGTGTGTAATTCTGTCTCTGCTTTTCTCTAGTTCTTCTAACTCCTTCCCCACTATGTTAGGATTTAGGGGTTCATCTAGACTCATCTACTCTTTTTTTTTTTTTTTCTGAGACTGTCTCACAGTGTATCCCTGACTAGCCTGGAGGTCACAGAGATCCATCAGACTCTGCTGCCAGGTGCTGAGATTAAAATCATCTGTTTTTGAGGTGACGATTAGGACCTCAACTGAGACAGAAAATATAGTGTTCCTCAGTTTGTGGTCAACATACACTAGTTTGAAACTAAGGATGGGAGCTTAGTACAGGGGTGTTGCCTTGATTTGCACATGTTAGCTGAGTAGCCTATGGAAAATAGTAATAATAATGACATTATTATTATTATTCAGTTTGGGTTTTCAAGACAGGGTTTCTCTGCAGCCCTGGTGTCCTAGAACTTAGAACTCAGAGATCTACCTTCCTTTGCCTTCCAGTGCTTAAAGGCATGCACCACCACACCCAGCTGGCCTAGGGAAAAATTTTAACTCTTTCAAGCCATTTTCCTCTTACATATGGGCTGCTGGGAAGTCTCAGTGGTACAGTGCTCAACAGCCCTACCTAGCAAGGTCCTTCCTCACACACTCTGGTGCCTCTCAACCTTGTACACTGAAGCCACTCGGGCAATTTGAGCATCCTAATGCTGCATCCCAGAGGAAGTCCATAAGAAGCTCGGGGAGTGGGCCTGAACCTCGCCCCAACACTTTTTAATTTTTCTTGTTCTCCCCCTCCCTCCCTCCCCCCTCCCTTCTCTCTCTCTTTCTCTCTCTCTCTCTTTCTCTCTCTTTCTTTCTTTCTTTAAGGTCTTACTACATAGCCCCGGCTGGTCTGAAATTCACTATACAGACCAGACTAGCCTGGAATTTAGAGTGATACATTGCCTCTGCCTTCTGCCTGCTGGGATTAAGGGTGTGTACCACCACACCCAGCAACATCTAAACAAAAAAATGTTAGCTTTCAGAGGGTTCCCAGTTGTCCAAAGGCTGAGAGAAACAGTAAACTATGGCCTGAACATGCTCGGTGGTCTCCACTGTTAGTCCTTGCTTCTGAACACCTACTGCCATCTCTGCTGCTGGTGCTTGCTTCTGCCGTCCTTTCCATCCTATTCATGATTTCCCTCATTGACATTAGTTTTTATCAGGCCCAGTTTAAACTCTTGCTTATACTCTCATCCTGAGACCCTTGTGTATTCCTTACTTTCCATATTGATGTGCACGGTCATGCCAACTGTCAGTGAGCCCGAGCAGCCTCCCTGTGAAGGCTCGCGGCTCACTGAAAGAAGCACACTGTATATGTCTATATTCTGCAAACTCCTAGGCAGGAACCTATCATACATGAGTTACAAATACATGTTGAATCTGTGGCTACCACTATCAGGTATGTTATCTTTTGACAAATTTTAAGTTGCTCATTCTGGGCAAAAAATTATCTTAAAAAGTACCTTTTCTCAGAGTTAATGCACAGTCATGGTTGTGGCAAGTGGTCCATTGGCCAGACGAGAGTGGGGTTAAAAATCAAGTAGGATGTTGGTTATATAACCTATAATTCAGGTGCAGGAGGTAGAAGCAGGAGGATCATAAGTTTGAGGCTGGCCTGGGCTTCAGAAGAAGTTCAAAGCTAATCTGGATAATTAGAGAGACCATATCTCAAAATTTTAAGATGCAAAAAAAAAGGGGGGGGCTAGAAATGTAGCTCAACAATAGAGTGCCTGAATGGTCCTAGCATCAGTCTGTACTCAAAATCTCTATCCATCCATCCATCCATCCATCTGTCTATTCATCTATTCATCTATCCATCTATCCATCTATCTATCTCTTTCTCTCTTACACATGCACACACATACACACACACACACACACACAGAGAGAGAGAGAGAGAGAGAGAGAGAGAGAGAGAGAGAGAGAGAGAGAGAGATATTTGGGGAAGAAAGATAGAGGTTGAGAGCAGAACTCATACATTCCTAGGAGCATCTGCCCCTTGATGAGCATCTACTGTCTGGACTGGTGCTTCTTTCTTGTGTTGCAGCTTACCTAAAACTTAGAAGGTTGTGTAGCCATTTCTCTTACCTCAGGACAAAACCAAGCCAGTATCCCTATATCCTACAGCCATCTAAACAGTGTTCCTCCCCGTGACAGGGCATGGAGGAACTGGTGGACCAGGGGCTGGTGAAAGCTCTGGGCGTCTCCAACTTCAATCACTTCCAGATTGAAAGACTCCTGAACAAGCCTGGACTAAAGCATAAGCCAGTGACCAACCAGGTAAGTTCTGTTTGGTGCAGGGTCCTGCTCCGTGCCTGCTTCAGCACTGGGAGGCAAGTTCAAGACTGTCTGCAGAGTCTCATCTCTGAGGTCTGTGTTCAGGATGCTTAGGGAGGTGGGAGGCAGGTCTCTGGGTCTGGTTTGTAGCACATCTATCAGTGGGTTGTGTTTGGCCTTTGTGTTGGTCCTTTCTTGTGCCTGGAGTTCCCACTGAGCCACTCAAGAAGGCTTGCTTCCCTAGTGATGGAGATGTTTTCTCTTGTAGGTCGAGTGTCACCCTTACCTGACCCAGGAGAAACTGATCCAGTACTGTCACTCCAAGGGCATCACTGTCACGGCCTACAGTCCCCTGGGCTCCCCAGACAGACCTCAGTAAGGCTTCAGAGTACTGGCCTTTTTTTTTTTCTATCATTCTTAAACTTAGCACTTTGTAATTTGATATGTAATATGTAATTTCCAAGGTACAAGATAAAGTATACCAATAGCAATGTGTTTGGCAACCCAAGAGGGATCGTGAGGTCAGAGTGTTTTGAAAATGATTTTTAAACCCCATTTCTGATGTCCAGTGCTGGGACAGTCTTCTCAAATTGCCAAAGTACTAGATCCTATGCATGAATCCAGGGGAAAGATCCAGTACTGTCACTCCAAGGGCATCATTGTCACGGCCTACAGTCCTCTGGGCTCTCCAGACAGGCCTAGGTGAGGCTTCAGAGTGTGACTCTCTTTTATCAGTCTTAAAATTATTGTTTAAAAACTGGTTAGTATTGGTATAAATTTCTTACGTACCTGGAAAAAAAATGTCTCTATAGCAATATATCTGACACATCCAAATAGGATTGCATGGGCGGTGGGGGGTACGATGGTTTTTTTTTGTTTTTTGTTTTGTTTTGTTTGTTTTAAAGACAGGATACCTTACCTCTTAAGAATGCTTCTACTGTTTAATGCTAGGGTATCCTTTGCAAATTACTGAGACTGCAGAGCATACAGATGGGGATCACAGGAAAGACACAAAGCTTCCAGGAGGATTCCCTGCCAGTTTTGCAGGTGGAGAAGGCTGTGATGCTCGGCCTTGATGTTGTCATGGAAGTGGGTGTCATTGGCTTGTAACAGCCTGGAGGTTTACTCATGCCAACTATCTTTCCATCTTTAGCGCTAAGCCATCGGACCCTTCACTACTTGAGGACCCCAAAATTAAAGAGATTGCTGCCAAGCATAAGAAAACCTCAGCCCAGGTAAAATACTGTGCCTCATTACTTTCAACCCTGCAATCCTTTCTTCGTCTTGTTTTATTCTATGTATTGCCTTCTTTTAATCCCTTGGAGAGGAGGAAATGGGAAATGTAAATCTATTTCCATCTCCAGGAAATACTGCTGATATCAAACAAGGACCACTTCTGTTCATTAGCTTCTTACCAAGTCTTCACCCCTGACTAGAGAAACCAAGGTGTTACTTTCAGTATTACAAGGAGATAAAAAGAGTCAGAGGGAGCCACAAAGACAATCTTTGTCTTAGTTACTTTTCTGTTGCTGTGATAAAACACCATGACCAAAGCAACCTATAGAAGAAAGACTTTTTTTTTTTTTGAGCTTACAGTTACAGAGAGATAGGAGTCTATCGACATCATGGTGGGAATAGTGGCAGCAGGGAGGCAGGCGTGGTGCTGGAACAGCAGCTAAGAGCTCACATCTCAAACCACAAACAGGAAACTGAGGGCACACTGGGAATGACTTCAATCTTGAAACCTTAAGCCTGTCCTCAGTGATGGGCATTCTCGAACAAGGCTACCCCTCCTAAATCTTCCTAAACAGTTCCACTCACTGGGGACCAAGTTTCCAAACGCAGGCACTTGTGGGGCCATTCTCATTTAAACCACCAAAGTCTTCTTTTAGTGAACACATGGATTCTTCACTTTCTGTGCACAGGTTCTGATTCGGTTCCACATCCAGAGGAATGTGGTGGTGATCCCGAAGTCTGTGACACCAGCGCGTATACAGGAGAACATTCAGGTAAGAGCATGACTGATCATCAGATGTGTGTATATGATATGAAGACTTCTGTTAAGCTTTCTTCTCATCCTGTTCCTGGGTTATCCATGTGTCCTCCCCGATTTCTGATCATTTTGTGAACACTTGCCCCAGGAGAGGTGGCCTCAACAGAGCTGAGATAAATCATCAGTGAGCCACTAATGGGCTGAGGGTGGGGCCCAGAGAAGCCCTGTTTGCTTTCCCATGAGCACTTAGATTAAGAGCCATAGATATCCTGCCCAAGTGCAGACTGCCCTGGCCTACATGGCAATCTTTTAGCTGGAGAACAGGCATGGACCAGACTTGAGGAAATGTCCTTCCTGAAGAATCCATGTGTCCCTTGAAGATTAGACACTGCATGGACTGAGATTTTGTCACTACAAGGTCTCTCTCTTTTTTGGAACACTGAATTCTATAAATAATTCAGTCTTAATCTAAAAAATGGTTTGTATGCTGTATGAGCCTATGTGTGCAGAGAGGAATGCCTGTAGCCTCAGGCACCAGCCCTTCCCTTGCTAAGGATGCTTCGGGTCTCTCATCCTTCCAGGTCTTTGACTTCCAGTTGAGTGACAAGGAGATGGCCACTATCCTTAGCTTCAACAGAAACTGGAGGGCCTGCCTGCTGCCTGAGTAAGTGGGGTAGAGTTGTAAGTGAGCTTTCTGGAGTTGTAGAGGATTAGCTGGGAGGGTTGGAAGACATCCAGGATAGCATCATCTTCAAATACTGTTTTTAGGAACTTATGAAAAAGTGAAATTTGAGTCATGGGAAGTCATGACTGCCAATTACCACTAATTCTCTGAAGTTTACCCATAGAGTCATAGTTTTCAGAAAAAAATGTTATGTTCCTTTGCAGAAGACTGGAGTGCTCATCCACTCTCTCACTCACTCACTGGCTTATCTGTAATGTGTTATGTGTACTATGACTAGTTGCTTGGCATATCACACTATACAAATGCCATGTTTCCCACTCCTGTATTCTAGGAATATCTGAAGTATGTACATCAGCCAGTAACAGATGCCATAGGAAAAAAATAGTTAGAACAGTATGAGATGTAGTGTGTCTTGGTAGAACAGAGGCTTTATAGGTGGTGATCCAAGGACAATTTTACTGATAAAACCATGTGGTATTAGGACAACACCTTTCTTGGTGATTACAACAGTGGGTGCAACTGCGCTGAGGTGTAGTGGATTTAGGGCTCTTGAATCAGGAAGCCAGTGAAGCTGCAGCCAATGAGGAGTAAGGGCTATTGGGGGAAGAAATGAATTTTGAGACAGCTTTAAAGCGAAGGGCATCCAGGTGGTATAAACTGTGGGGAGGACTTTGATTTTTAAAATGGAAGGAGCTTAGAAGCCGGGAGAGAGTGTGAGCAGAGCCTGGCATGATCTGACATGTCCTAAAAGTTTCACAGTGACTTCTGCTTGAGAGACCACAGGGAGCCTACCTTAGCAATCCAGGGAAGAAAGGACAATGATTGTACCTGGCTTCCAATAGCAAATAGCCAATTGGACTTGCCAAAAGGTTAACAAATATGGGTTTGCCCGGCTGGTTTTGTTTTTTGTATGAATAGCTGGAGAACAGAACCGTCATTTAGAAGTCTAGGATTTGGCTCTAGACATGTTTGTGATGCTTTTTGGTCACCAAACAAGTTAATTTTAGATAGATAGGTAAATGAGTGGAGGTAGTAGATGGGTGTATTCAGAAGTAAACTCGGCTGGCTGCTAATCCAAACGTCAGTCATTCAGCAGCTATGAAGCCTCGGGTGGATCTGTAGCTTTGCCAATTCTCTTTCCTTATCTACAGAGTAGGGATGATAATAACAGTAACAGCACATAGCTATTGAATACAGAGATCCTAGCTCATGGCTTACCTTACCTTGTTTAATACGACAACCACAATACAATAACCAATCTGTCAATTTCAACATGATTTCCCACTTCTCAATAAGGTGGAAGTGTCAGGAACCATAATGGGACAAGCTAGTAACTAGCAGGTGATCATCCTGAAATGTCCTGCTTTGGATTATTATATAATCTGCAACAGGTTCGTTCTTATTAAGCAAGGCTGTAAGGGATTCATTTTAGGAAAGATTCCTGCTATTAATGCTCTTTTCCTATTATTATTAAACATATATAACAATCACCAAGTAATAGCACACCCCTTTGGAGCAGATTTCTGCAGATCATGAAGATGTACTGTCTTGTAGTGATGCTATATAGACAAATAGATGACTTCTTAAGCCTTCATGATGATCCTATAAGAATTCCTAAAATTATATCAATGATTATTAAGCTCTTTTATAGTGGGACTGCTATTAGGTCTCTTCTGATAATCAAAACTGCAATAATAACTCTGCCAGTCTCCAAGTGTCACCAGTCAATTGATCTTAGATAGTAACCAGACTTTCTCCTACTCAGAGCACATTCTAAGAGGTTGTAAAACAATTAACCAAAGGTCATAAAAATGTAACTATTATCTACAATAATAATTTATTATAGGTGCTAGGACAGAAAATAAAATATTGACTGGGCTTATAAAACTTCACTAATAACTTAGTTATGGTTTTAAACCTCCAGTGAACCTGTGGAGCTGACACAGGTGATGAATGTTTAGCCAGGTAATTACTCCTAATGGATATGCATGTAAACATTCTCTGTTATAAACTTCTATTTCAATTTATGATTTGATTTTTTGTGTGAACTTGTAATGAACTTTGTAACATGTGATCATGTATTCTGAAAGATGTATAAGTACTGAGGACAAAGAGATGAGAAAATAGAATAGAATTTTTTCCCTTTCCCCACTTAGGGATTCTTATGCTTTTCCCCTTAGACAGCTTTAATAGGAAACTTTTTACAACTTAGTAATAAACTCTATAACCACTTCACTAAGTGTGCCTTTTTCTTCCTGCAACTTCTGACTACCAGGTTGAAAGTTAGAGCCCCCAAGTTTCTGCTAAGATAGTACAAAGGCTATTTACTTAATCCGTTGCTGTTGGAAGAAGAGGTGCTAATGCCAGAAACTGCAGTTTCTGGCCTCAGAGGATCACAGAAGGCAGTTCAGCTACAGTAGCATAGTAACCTAGACTTAGATAAGTAAACTTTTTATTATACAGCACCCCTAATATCTTGTAAGACAAAGTCTTATTACCCCTCTGCTAACGCTCTCCCCCTTCCTCTGCCTCAAGAAGAAGTGACAAGAACCCTCCATGCCTGGGCTGCCCCCCACCCCCCCGCATGGAATGAACTCAAACAGCATTCGTGAGACCCTGGGAAGTATGCCAGGTCTCTAATGATGCATCCTCATGACCTTATTCTGATGACCTGGCTACTGCGTACTTCCCTACCCTCTTTTCAAATGCTGTGCTCGTCAATTAAAGGGGAAGATCGTGGTGTGGGGGTGAGGAAAGCCTGAATAAGCACACAGAAAGTATATTCTTATGAATATCCTATCTGTACACCTAGGCTGGGGAAGTGGCTCAGCTGAGAGAGTTCTTGTCTGGTTATTTGTGAAACCTTGAGTTGGATCCCCATAGTCCACAAAGACAGGCCTCTTTCAAATCCATGGCCTCTTTTTCATTCATTGTTGTTACATATGCATACCTTTATGTATATACATCTATACTCCTAAGAGATCAAGGAGGGGTATATGGCAGATTTTGAAGGGAGGAGAAGGAGTGATGTCATTATATTATAATCTGAACACATAAAAGAAATAACAAAATGAATAAGTAAATAAATAAATAAATAAATAAATAAATAAAACTAGGCCCTGTGGCATATGCCTCCAGTCCTCTGGAGGCAGAGGCAGAGGCAGGAGGGTCATAAGTTCAAAGTTGCTCTCCATTACTTAAGTTCAGAGACAGCCTGGGATGCTTGGGACCATCTCTAAAAAAAAAAAAGCATGACGTATTAGGTGGCACTAATGTTTCTTCTATGTTGTGGCTGCAGGACAATAAACATGGAAGAATATCCCTATGACGCAGAATACTGAAGCTGAATCAGTCCCTGAGGCTTCCTCTTTGCCGATGCACACCTCACTCCCAGAGTCCTGTTTAAGCCCAGCCTGCCTGACATCGTGCGGTAGGCAAGGCTGTGTTTAAATCGCCACGCTGACCAGAGACAGACTGTTGCATGCAAATGTGCCTTAGAGAAGCAAATGGGCCTCTCCTTCACTAATTTGATCTGATCAAATGTTTGTCAAAAACTGGGAACTCTGGTAACATTTGAGGGTATAAAGATAAAATAATAAAGAATCGTAATGTTAACAAACATATCCAACACGTTCTGAAGTGATTTTTGAATAAGTGAGCTCACTGGGTCCAACTCTGATCATTCACACTTGGCATGAGAGGAAATCGAGGCATGGTGAAGCCAAGAAGAACTTGCTTGCTTGAGATCTCTTTGCAGAGTGCCTAACCCTAAGTTTCAAAGGAAGTGCTCTGAGGGGGAGCTCAAGGCAATCTGATGCCCACCTCCTCCTCCCAAGTCTTCTTACCTCTTCTGTTACCCTGTGGCTTTCTTGGTCTTTTTTGTTGCTCCCCAACCTTTCCCCTAATTCCCAGTCATGTCAGAGAGTCAGTGCTCATGGAGGAAGAGTCAGAAATCCACAAAGGTCATCTCTGGGAATATTGGGTGGTAAGTGGGGAGTCTGGACAAGAAAAATAATCTATTGTCATTAGCCTGGGACATGTCCCCTTTAAAAAAAAAATCTTGGAAACATTGCAATCATCTAAAAAGGCACAGAAAAGAATATGAAGGACATCTGGCCATCCACTTTACCTGCTTTTTTGTTTGCTCCAAATGTTTTGGAAAAAAAAGACGTTCAAACACTGGTAACCATAAGGTAGAAAACCACAATAGCTTTCCCTGTCCCTGTTACCCATGGTCAGTGTCATGTCAGACTGCTGAGCTGTCTCGTCAGCTGCTTAGGTGCCTGCTTGCTCTCAGATCCTGCCTTTCCTCCAGTCTGTATGGTGGTAAGGGAATGGTGGACAGCTACATCTCCAGGATTCCTGGTCCGATGGCCTCCCCTGGGATTGCTCAATCGGGACTCTGTTAGGAAGTCGAAGGGCTGGAGAAGCGAGATGTGTGGGTTTCAGATCCATTTCCTGTAGGAGTCACATCTGATGTAGAACATCATCTCTTTCTTGCACCCTTGTCCTGGATTCTGTCTTACCAGTTCACACAGCTTCTGAGATTAGGACACACCACTCTGGTCCTTCCTTAGTCTGGCCTTCCATCAAGTTATCTAAGAGATAAGGGGGGATACTTCTCTTTGAGGCTCTAGTGTTTTCCTCATTGACTCTCCCCTACTTTGTAGTTACTTCTTCAGGAGTACTGACTTCTCTCTCTGACTTCTCATATTGCTCTTAGAGGGAGATGAGCCATTAGATTCATGACTCACCCTTACCAAACACGCCAGCTACACAAAAGCCAGCAGTGAACCTAGCTGGCTACATTAGTAACTTTTCTGTTGATGTGATAAGACATCATGACTGAAGCAAAGGCTAGAACACAATCATCATCACCACCACCATCATCACCATCACCATCTCATCACCACTATCATCAATCACTATGTAGCCCTGGCTGCCCCAAAACTACATAGATCAGACTGACTTAAAACTTAAAGAGATCTACCTGCCTCTGCTTTCTGAGTGTTGGGATTAAAGGTGTGCACCATCATACCTAGAAATATACCTTAATGTAATTAATTCTGTTGGCAAAGACCATTCCTTCGATTAAGGTCATATTCCGAGGTCTGGGCAGATGTGGGCTTTTGGCTCATTATTCAAGCAATGTCTGGAACATTGTTTTACCTTTATTGGACTTCTCAGTATTTGTCACAAACCAGCAGAGTTTAAGTAGGAAGTCATTAGGGAGGGCATAGCTTATCTGTGTCACTTCTGTTCATGAGACAAACGCCCATGTGGAATGTGACAGAGAACAAGTGAAATGACAGAATCAGTCGTTGTTCCTTGTCATTTCAGTTCATCCAGATTCACCAGTGATCAGAGGCTGAGGTAGTGGGCCGGTTGGATATCCAGAATTGAGATGGAAACACTGATGCTGATTCTGTGCAGTATTTCTACTGCTCAGCCTAAACAGTACTCACTTGGAAGTGTGTGCACAAAAACCGGAGCTTCACAGTGTGGGACCCTGCACATGAGTTAAACAGTTTATATTATGCTTTATTTGTTTGTTAGTTTTTGAGACAGAGTTTTGTTTGTTAGTTTTTGAGACAGAGTTTCTCTGTGTAGCCCTGGCTGTCCTAGAACTCCCTAGGTAGACCAGCCTGGCCTTGAACTCACAGAGATCTGCCTGTGACCTTAGCTGAGCTCTCATACCATTTTTGCTAGATCCTGTGATGTCATTCTGACTCTGTGTGTCTTCAGTTTCTTGTCTATAAGAGCCTGCTCCCCAACGAGGCAAGGGCTATAGAAATCTCACAGGAGGGCTCATAAGAATCAGCTTTTCCATAAGGCTACCCCATTCTCTAAAAACCACTTTTCTGGGTGTTAACGGTAAAACACTATTAGTGAGAATGAGCTGGCACGGTGTTGCAAGTGTTCACTCCCAGCGCCAAGGAGGCTGAGGCAAGAAGATTGCAGCAAGATCCAGGTCGACTCTGGCAACCTTTGGCTATAGCAACCTAGTCTTTTTCTCTCAATTCCTCTCTTTTGCACACACACACACACACACTCACACGTACAAAAGAACCATGTACATCAGTCACATGGTTCTCAGAACACTTTGTCAGTCAAGTGTCCTCTCAGAGGTACAGAGACAGAAGGAGAGACCTGTAAGTTGGAAGTCACGACTCTCCTAAAGTATATCTTCCAAACTAAGTTCCACTTCTGCCTGCTGCTACTCTAGAGACAGGCACTTTCTGACCCCACACCCTCTACTGTTAGACTAATTGCAAGAGTTCCTAAAGGCCCTGGGTCCCTTAGGTGACCATTTCCTTCACATTTGCCGGAGCTCTGACAGGGAAAAGTGGCCTCAGGAAAACAAACCTTCCTGCTCCTCCTCTGATCCCTTCACTAAGGCAGCATCTCAGTTGAGCTTCATCTGCTCATGAACGAACAGCCCTGGAAAGCCCTGTCTCTGCCATAGCTCTCAGGCTCTGGAGTCTTGAAACTTACCGCTGTTCTCCCAGGAAGCTGGAAGCCAAGCTTTGGGACAACCATGTAAATACTGACTGCATCCTAATTGTCAGCCTTCCACACCATCCCTTAAGAATTCACCAGAAAAGGAGGTGCGCACTCACAACTGCCAAGCTCTACCAGATCTGATAAGCTGAAGGGTTTGCTTTGCCCCAGGGGAGGGGTAACCTGCTTCCAGCATTGGGATGAACCTAGGCTTGCAGCAAAGCCATGTCTAAATGCAAGGGCAGGTCTAACTGGGCTTTGGGCTGCAGAAGAGAGGACAGGGCTGGTTAGGGAACTGCAGCCTGGGTCAGCCAGCCTGGACTCAGGGATTAAGACATATTCAAGTTTTCCCAGGTCTTCAGCATTATAGTCTAGCTAAGATCCCAAAACTACTGCCCAGGAATCCTGTTCTCAATAGATCCTTAGGAAATGGTGTGCTTATTTTTTTTTGTTTTTTGAGACAGGGTTTATCTGTATAGCCCTGGCAGTCTGGCACTCACTCTGTAGACCAGGCTGGCCTCGAACTCAAAAATCCACCTGCCTCTGCCTCCCAAGTGCTGGGATTAAAGGCGTGTGCCACCACTGCCCGTAGGCTAGGATTTTTAACCTCAAAGTCTGCCCCCCAGCCCTGTACTTCCCCAGCAAGGCTTCACCATTTAAACCCCTAAAGAGCATCACCCTGGAGTCCAGTACTCCAATACTCCGTCTGAGGAGAGCATTCTCATTCACACACACCTCTGGCATGTGTCTGTGTTAGACTCAGTACTTTTTCTTTTTTTTTTTTCTTTTGGAGAAATATGTACAGTTAATGGAAGCCATTGAATATAGCCCATTAATTTCAATTTTATTGATTTATTAGTGAACTATCTTACTAATTTAACTTTTAGCTGATAGATTAAATTAAAGCAATTTAAAAGGTTGGGGTCTTTAAGCTAATTGTGCTGGCTTTCAAGAGCCAGGAAAAGCTGAGCTTTACAGAATTTTAACAAGCTGACAGGGTTGCTCTGATACCAAGGTCCAGCGTACAGTACTGCAAATTCAGAATTAATTTTTAAAACTTTCATTTTGCTTGTCTAATCATGAATGACCTTGGAGATAATTCATTATAGTCTAGTTCATAAAAAAATCACTATGATAAAATTCTAATTTACGTCATTATTTTAAGACCATCCATCATGCTAGCTAAGACATATGGGCACTTGCTTGTCTTAAATTATGTTACTGGTAGGTGGGACTCTTTTGAAAACCGAGCTTGAAGTTTAGGCACAGAACAAGAACCCAAATATTTAGGAGACTGAGGCAGTGTTGCAAAAATTTTGAGGTCACTTGGACTATGTAGTAAATACCAAGCAATCAAGGCTAATATAGTAAGACTGTGTCTCAACAAACAAGCCAACGAGGCACCAAGGCCAGTGAGGTCGCACAGTTAGTAAGGGTGCATGCTGCCAAGTTTGAGGACATGAGTTCAACTCCTGAAACCCACACAGTAGAGAGCAGGATGATTCCCATGGGGTGTCCTGTGAACACACAGCGGCTGTGGCATGCACACTCATGTGAATGTACATACACACCAATAAATACATAAATAAATAAATGTAGGAAGATATTCTTTATAAGCAAACAATTTTGCAGACTTTAATGCCAGAAGATTAAGAATAATGAAGCCCGAGTTAATTACTATCTCACTGACCAGGACAGTGGAGGACATAGGCTTGTCCCTCCTGACCAGTGTCTTCTCTTCATAGTGCTAAAGGGACACCTGTCAATTTCACTTGCAGGTTTCCATGTTGTCAGTATAAGATACCTGCCATACAAATCATCCTTCATCCAACTTCTATATGCAGCACAGTGTACAGTGGCTAGGTATCTTCTTGGCTCTACAGTCAGCAAACATGTATTAAATGTCTGACTGTATGAACCATGGGTCACTGTTAGACAAAGTTATAATCTCCTCTGTATATATTGTGAATTCACCATCTTCCTGGGGGAACTCTGTAGAAGCTGCTACCCCACACCTCTTCCTACAATTTAGGAAAAATTCCAGTCACCAGCATTTGTAGTTTTCCCGCAAGAGTAAATTGATCTAGAGATTCCCATTGGAGGAGTGTTCTCCATCCAGTTC